ATTTAATTAAGTCCAAAAACTTCTTTTATTATACTAAATCCTTTTCTGTACAAAAAAAAATAAAAATTTATATAAATTCTATTAAAACCACATCCTATCCATCTATCAAAAGGAAAAAAAAATCAAGTGTAAAATAAGAAATTAAAATATATTATAGGCTTAAATCCAAGAAAAAAAAAAAGCTTAAAGCTGGGACAACTCACACAAGCAATGTTTTGAAAACCAGACCGGTTGAACCAGAATTCGGTGATACAAACGGTTCAGTTGTATATTTTAAAACGTTTGAATTGTAAACCACTTGAAATCGATAAAAACCATTGAAACCACTCAAACTGATAAACCGTTCGACCGAATGGTTTAATGGTTGGACATAAAATCTTCAAAATTGTCTCCCATGGGACTTGAACTCACGACCCCGAAGCGTTAATTCCGATTCTTTACAACTAGGGCGATACTATCCTTTTGTCATTGAGTGCTTGAAATTTTATTTATCTAATAAAATTCTCAAAATTTTTAACTAAATTATTGATGACACCCATGGGATTCGAACACCTATTCTTTATGATATGAAACAAATACCCACCCACTTGAGACACAACCTTTTATTTGTTATTTTTTGCTTTATAATATATTTATTCTGTAATATCCCAAATTTTTGGGAATTTTATCAATTAAGTTAGGGGACTTATTTTGAAAAAAATATTGTTTTAGAGCTTAATAATGAAAATTTTGCTTGAGGGACTTAAAAGGGAGAAAAATTTAGGATAAGGATCAAGCTGATTTTCTTCTTTTTCTTCCAGCCACTTTTCGGGTTCTGCTTATCTTCTTCCTCCCGACCCCCCCTTGTGTCCCGAAAGCCCCCAACTTGCCGACCTGCATGCTTGAAAAAAAATTGGAAAAAGGCTTGAAATTTCTCTTCCTTTCTTGTTCAATCACAAGATTTAGGACCTAGAAATCCCTCTAAAGCCATAAATTTTTCAGATCTGCAACTGCTCCCTCCCCTGTCCGCGAGCTGCTCTTGCCGGGGGAGTGCTTCTCGGTTTTTCTGGTAAGGGAACAACTAGGAAATCATCCCTTTAGCCTTGATTCAAGTTGGGTTCACTCTAATTGCTCTTATTTCCTTCAATTTTGTGCTAATTTCTCTCCAATTTTCGGCAGCCTCTCTCACCGCCAGAACCGGCTTTGCTGCTGGGAAAATTCTGGTATGATGGCCACTTCTTTAAGTTCGAAATTAGCCATTAATTGCTGCCCTATTGTTGTCCGAATTTTCTGTTGAAATGGAGGAGTTTCGGTAGCCTTAAAACATGGGTTTTAAGCTTGCTTAATGTAGAAAATTAGCTTGATTTGCTGCTGTGAGGTTTTATATGAAAATCTCGTGTCTTAGCTGCTGTTTTGCCATGGAATTTTTCTGTTTCACGAATCACTGTTTACTGGTACTGTTCGGGATCACTGTTCACTCAGGAAATTTTGTAATTTGCTGCTGCGTTTTCTGTATTTTCTGCAAATTTTTCTGCAAACTGGCTGCTACGTTTTCTGCACTTGCTGCTGCATTTTTCTGCAAGTTGTTGCTGTTTTCACTGTTCACGCAGAAACATTCTGCATCTTCCTGCACTGTTTTTTTACCAGAAAACTCTGTATTTTCTCCAGAAAAATTCTGCATTTTGCAGTATTTTTCCTTGCTATTTTTCTGCATTGTTTTTCCCCCAAATTTCTTGCCATTTACTGCAAATTTCTACTCCTTGCCAAATTCTAGAAATTGCAGTTACTGTTCATGGTACTGTTTACAGATACTGTTTATGGCACTGTTCACGCACTGATGACCAACAATTAATGGGGATTTAAATGTTTAGTTTGCAATATAAGAACAAATTTGAAGATGTCCGGTCATGTGGAGACCGATAGAAATAGCATCCTGATTAAGGGTAGTCTTAATGATGATTTCACTTTGAATTTGTGGTAGTGCGGTATTAACTTTGGAATATTGTGATTAGGTTTTGCTCGTTCTGTCGCCGTAGCACTTAGGTTAAGCCTTCTGTTCTGTGCGAGTCAGGTAAGTAAATTATGGTAATGCCCTTTGATTTCAAAGTATGTTTTAAATTGTTTTTAAGATGGTGGCAAGGTTTAAATTGATTTTAAATTAATTTTATTTGCACCGAGCATGATTGGTTTGAAATGAAATTGTTTTCATTTGTATTGAGTAGAGCATGCCTGTTTGGAATTGACTGAACTGCCTTGATGAACTGAGAATTTTGTAAATTTTGAGTTTTTTTGTTAAATCCATGATCACATGGAAATTTTCCGATTTATTTCTGAAAATTGAGATTGATTGTGAATTACGGATTTTTCTATAAACCCTGCATGGTTTTGTCCTCTGATATAGTCATGATTACTGACACCCGCTAGTGGGAGTTTGCAAACGCTAGCACATGTCGACATGTTTACTGATATGACCGGTCCATCTTGTAAGCCTGCCAATGGGCGAATACATTGGTAATTACTGACGCCTGCCAGTGGGAATTTGTTAAACACTGGTCATGACTCATAGATGAAATTACTATTGAATTTTCTTCTGCATTAACGGTTTGTCATTGAACGTTTTACTATTGAACTGAATTTGATTCTGCATTAACGGTTTATCATTGAACGTTTTATTATATTAAACTGTTTATCAGACATGCTAAAATTTTAGCCAAGGGCTATCCATATTTTTACTTACTGAGATATTTTATCTCATAGTTTTCCTTGTCCACCATTTCAAAAAACGAAATCGAGGACGGGGAAACCAAGGGGAGTGACAAGGTAGAAGGCTAACCATTTTAATTGGATATAAGTTTTAGATTTTATCATCCTTTTGTAATGTAGATTTTATTCTTGAGATTTTATGATTTGAATAAGTTCTGAGCCTTGTGCACTTGTGGGACCTGTCTCACGAGTGCACGGCGTCTGCTATATCTTCGGATATGGGTTTTGGGGCGTGACATATTCTATCTTTAAAACCACAATTATATTAAAATTTGTTCTCACCCAAGCTCGAACTTGTGATCTTTCACCTATCAAATCAATCATTTATCACTGCACGCAACTAACACCTTGTGAAATATTTTGCAGAATAATGTATTTATAATAGTTAAATCAACCCGGTAGTTTTACTGATTAAATTGGTTGAACCAGTCAAACTGTGAACCAGAGGTCAAAATGGTTTGACCTCTAGTTCGAGTTTAAAAACATTGCACACAAGCCCACATTGTCAATAATATTATCAGGCAACGCCCAAGAGATGAGGAAACAATAATACTAAAATGCAAAAAAATCCGAATCAATTTAAAATTTTCTGAAAACAAACTGATAATGGGGAATTGAAATAGAAAAAAGGGAACCAAACTCCATTGGTTTTTGATGCTGAGCAATTAAAAGTTAAATTATCAAATATGTTAGGGGAGACAAGCTGAGAGCTTCAATTAAAAATCTACTCTCAAATTATGATATTGCAAAATTCACGTCAATTTTACTAATTTTAAGGAATGGTAGTAGGGGTGTTCACGGTGTAATTTGGTTCGGATTTTAATATTTTTTAAATCAATTTAATTTAATCGATTAATAAATTTTTAAACGAATCCAATCCATTATTATATGATAATCAAACCAATTCAACTTAAATCGGATCGGTGTGGTTCGGTCGGATTGATCAGTTTTTAACATTATTAAATATATAATATAATGTAAAATTATTTTAACATTATTAAATATATAATATAATGTAAAATTATTTTAACATCGAATAGAAAGTATAACCATAAAACACATTAGCTTGCAAATTAGTAAAAACATTAAAAAAAGTACAAATTATAAACGAATTCTCATACTCCTTTACATTTATAAAAATTGAAAAGATCTGAAAATTATTCTTGGTTATATCATTAGAGGCATCAAGAACAATAAAAGATGACTTCGAGTTTCTAACATAGCATAAATAATTTTTAAAAATTAAAATTAATTTTTTTCTTAATGCATTAATAATTTATCTCATCTTCTAAATCTTATTAAAAATAAATAAAATTTAACATGAATATCACTAAAATTAATTAGAAGCATTCATAATCAAAATTTAAAATTTCTAAACTAAATATCCAAGAATAGTAGAATATCAAGATTAATTTTATTATATAGTTTTAAGACTTTTGGAATGATATTTATTTAAAACTTCCTTAGGAGAATCATAAGATTATTTTAAGAATAAATTAAAAATTTAAGATTCTAAGAGTAAAGATATAAATCAGTTATGAAGGGATAGAGTTGCAGGTGAATTAGAAATTTAGAATTAGGGTTAGAGTGCATGATTAAAATAAAAAAAATAACTTAGGGAATATGGAGATGTTCCATTCTTATTTTTTAATTAAGTTAATGGGGTTATTATCTTGTAAAATAAGAAAAAAATTTTAAAATACTACAAAAATTATATTATGTTATTTAATTAAGTTATCTTGCAATCGGATTTTATTTTGTAAACAGACAGTTTGAAGGTAAAATCACAAACCAAACCAATTATATCGGTTTTAAAATTTTATAATTCAAACCAACCCAATTTTATATCGGTTTAGATCAATTTTTAATTGGATTGGATCAGTTCAAATCGAATCAATCGGATTGGATCGGATATGAATACTCCTAAATTGTAGGCTTCTGCTAATACCTATTCGCCACTATTATTAATTGTTATCATTACTTGATAATTCTCCTGTGGTGAAAGTGTCTCAGAGGGTATTCTTGTGGAAGGAGTCAAGATGCTCAGGCAACGCAATTAGAGAACTATGAATTAAATG